CCAATAAAGTTTGAGTGTTACCTGGGCACAGTGCTGGGTGCTGGAGACCCAGCTACTCAGAAGATCACTGCGGTCTTCCCTAAGAAACTACCCTGGACAATATTTCTGTTTGCTTTTGTTTTCATTTCTATATTTTATGCTCTATTTCAATATTATGTCTTTTAGAGTCAATGTGTATTCTTTGCTTACACTATGTGTGAATGCTCTGTTTTGGTGCATGTGATAAGCAACAACCAAATTGGGGACATACTTCTAGTCCCATGTTCACCACCAAGTAAACAAGGAAAATTTCTGAGCTCGTGCTTTGACTCTGGGGATGTAGCTCAGATTGCAGAGTGCTTGTCAAGCAAGCATGAAGTCCCGCAATCTATCCTCAGCATTAAACCTAATGAAACACAACATGAGGAATTTCTGCATAATGGTTCTATGAAGGTACTCAGCTTTCAGCCTGGGTTCTGAAAGGCTCAGGTCTGGCACCAGAGACATCAGGCAGTATCTAGGTTGATGAAAAGAATCCCGAGGCAGGTAAGCAAAGGAAGTCACAGGCACCTCTTACCTATTAATTCCTTCAGGCTTTCTATGATGGACTCGTGTCTTGCTTTTGCTTCACTGATTTTTTTCTCCAGGTTCATAGGAACTGGGGTTGGGTTGTGAAACTCATATTCTTTACCCCTGTGAAGATATGTTGATCTGAGTGGTAAGTTCAGGGATAGAGTGTGGGCAGGAAGGACCTGGGAGATGGTTCCTGGTGAGGAGGCAGAGTGATAAATATAGTCTAGAGCCAGGGAGCTGTTTGTCAGGGGGTGTTGACAGAGGTTTCTGTCCTGCCTGGTCCTGCATTCTTTCAGTCCCAAAGAAACACACAGAGGTCTATATTAATCATAAACTGGTTGGCCTATTAGCTCAGGCTTCTTATTAACTTTTATAACTTACATTAACCCATAATTCCTGTCTGTGTTACCACATGGCTTGGTACCTTTCATCAGCGAGGCATTCTCATCTTCTTCCTCTGTGTCTGGGTGACACCTACAGGGTGCACCACACCTCTTCCCAGAATTCTCCTGTTCTCGTTGCCCTGCCTATACCTCCTGGCGGATACTGGCCAATTAGCATTTTATTAAACTAGTACAACTGATAAAACTTTGCAAGATATAAGGCCATTGTCCCACAGCAAGGAGGCCAGGACAGGAATGCAGGGCTGAATGAGATCAGACCCAAGAAAATGTGGGAAAGGAGATGGGAGATGGATCAGAGAAGAGAGAATAGACAGGAAGTAGGAGGTAGAGTAGGAAACCTAGGGTTCACCCACTTGAGCAAGAGAGGAATATGGGAAAGGAGTGCAGCTGGGAAAGAAAGACTGCTTTTCTGTGTGATTATTTTGGGAATCTGAGCAGCCAGGAAAAAATGAGTGGCCTCAATACAACAAATTGGTGTTCAAGCTTATGACCGTTTAATCACATAAAACCTGAGCAAGCTTAAAAAGTAATTTTAGATACAAAAGAACAGAGTTAAGCATGGCTTCTTGGTAGCCAGCATTTTGCTAGNAAAAAAAAAAAAAAAAAAAAAAAAAAAAAAGCTGTGTGGTTTTGAAATGGCAGCTTTCTGGACCTTGCTACCAGCAGAAACTTGGCTCTTTCAGGAAGCTGAGCATTTAAATGGGGTTTGTGAGCAGTGTGCAGCAAGTACTTGGTGGCAGCATGGGCCAACTGGTTATCAGGGTTGAGGTAGTGGGGAGGTAGTGGGGGTGGCTCCCACCTCCCACCCAGCAGTCTCAAAGGCAGTGAAAAACTTCCACCATGTTGGACTGGGCAGAGCAAGCAGGCAGGGTCCTGTTTGTCCTAGCAATGCTGCCACTTAGGTTTTTAAGAAGGGCTTAGCATTTTAAGAAGTCATCTTGTTCAGAAAAGAATTGCAGATACACAATAAGGACAGATTCAGACATAAAAGATCTCTAAATGAGACACAGTGTGTTTTAAAAATGTACGTTTGTGTGGGGACAAAAGGAAAAGAGAATAGAGAGCTATAAAAGGATGTAAATGGTTTATAAAAAGCAATAAAATAAAGTCTTTAAAGAGACAGAGTACAGACTGCCACAGATTAAAGGAGTAAAGATAATAAAATAAATATTAAAAAGTACTATAGTAAGAAAATAAGCTATGTAAAGATGGAATCTACACATAGAGTCTGGATTATGTATATTATTGTATTTTTTGAATTTTTTGTGAAAGAGCTAAGTACAGAGACGTATTTCATTATATGGACTGCTAAATTAAGCCAACATAAAGGTATGTTGACTTCAGAATTTGGGTCTAAGGATTTGTTACTTTGGAAAAGAGGTTCTTCTTTTGTTTCCACAGAGGATGAGAACCTGTAGATTGTTTCCAGATGAATGTGGTTTTATGGACCATCTGAAAGATTTCCATAAAAACCCCAATAAATACTTTGCCCAACAAAATGCAGGAAATAGTTTGGAAAGAACTATGCCAAAATTCCCAAATATTACTTATAAATGTTTTTTTACATTTAAAAGGGGATATGATATAGAGATTTGCATTGCTATGGATCTTAGTTTATTGTTTGTTATATGTATATTTCTGTTCTTGATTAAGGTATTGTGTTTGTGTGGCTCATTTAAAAATCTAATGTATAATAAAGAAATATAGGTTAATAGAGAATATCTATAATATTCATATTTCAGTTAGATAGTTATTCTTCAAATCTTTCAGAGACCTTCAGAATATGGCACTTAAAATGTTTTAAAATCTAGACATTTCATTACAATGAGACACGTCTGCTCCTGGAGGAACCAATTACTTCAAGAGGAAGATGGGCACTGAAGAGGCTCCTTATAGCATTGCTTAACCATGTGGGCAAAAACTGTTCTTTCCTGGGCTGCTTGATGCTATACTGTATGAACTAGACATGCAGGGTCCACAGAGAAATTACTGCTGAACTTGCGTAAAAGTGAGACTATCCTTTGGGGTTACTGCTTCATGAAAGAGTCTGCTAGACATTCTGCAGGACACAGAAGAAAGTGACTTTTAATTTGCCAATATGGGAGAAACTGCCTTTGAAATTTCCTCCTTCAGCCTATGGGCTGAAGATGAATGCCCCATGGGTACAGAAGAACTTTGGGTGACTGTGCAGACAGCAAGATGTCTCTGTCAATTCTAGAGTTTTGGGAGTTGCTTACAATGCACTTCCTGTTTACTTGGGTAATATTATATACTGGAGTCTTTGATGGAGTTGAAGAATAGATAGTTATAGATACAGTTTTCTTTAGTTATGATGAAAGATAAAGTAACTATAAATATTGTAACTATAATTCTTGCTTGATACCTGTTTTGTTATATGTAATTTTACTATGTTAAAGTTAAAATCTTCCTTTTTATTTAAACAGAAAAGGGGAGGTGATGTGGGATACCCGTCTTATGCTGTGAATACCATTGGTGAATAAAGAAACTGCCTTGGCCTGTTGATAGAGCAGGGCAGTGCTAGTCAGAGAAAACTAAGCTGAAAGCTGGGAGTAAGGGGACAGAGTCAAAAAGAAACCATGGAGCTGATGCCAGAGACAGACATGCTGGAAACTTGCTTGTAGGCTACAAGCTTCGTGGCAAAATATAAAATACTGGAAATGGGTTAATACTAGATATAAGAGCTAGCTAGCAATACAGTGATTGTCCAAGCAGTGATAATATAGTTTCTGTGGGATTATTTCTGAAGTCTAGGCAGGTGGGAAAACAAATAAGCGGCTTCCTACTACAGATCAGACCCTTGAAAATATGGAAATGAAGATGGGAGATGGATCAGAGAAGAGAGAAGGGACAGGGAGTAGGGAGGTAGAGTAGGAAACCCAGGGTCACCCCCTTGACCAAGAGGAATATGGGAGGGGAGTGCAGCTGCTCTAACGCTGGGTGTTGGTGAAAAAAAGCTGTGCCCAGCAGACCACATGCTACTGTGGCCAGCTTGGTCTTCCTCACCTGCAGCCTAAAGGGTTTATAGACAGGTTATTGGAGGATGTTAACATATTCATATATATATTGAACGTTGTATGTGTGAGTGAACCAGAAAGCACAGTGCACTTGGGATGCCCATCATACCTGCCCAAGCTGTCCTTGATGCCCTGAAAGAGAAAGAGAGAACAATGTCAGAGCTTGCCTAGTCATAGGCACTGAGAAGGGGTTCAGACTCAGCTGGAGGCAGAGTGAGAACACCCCAGTTTTCCACCCTCTCTTTCCTCTCTCTGTCTTTCTGTCTCTGCTGTCTCTGTGTGTCTGTCTCTGTCTGTTCTTTTCTCTCCTCCCATTCCATTCTGAACTGCTACCCCCGAAACTCCTGATACAGTTGGGATAGTGTTTAAACCTCAGGAGACACAGAGTGAGGAGAGAAGAAAGAGTGACATTTCAGAGATGGGTGTTGCCTCTGATACAGAACCAGGGAGCTCAACTTGGCAGGGCTAGGACAAAGGTGGAGTGGCTGTTTATGGTTCTTTAAAGAAAAAAAAAAAAAAAAAAAA